AAATTAGAATGATTATTTTTGATTAATTCAAAAATCATCAACATTAATTTCTTGTAAAATATAAATATACGAGACAAATAATATTTTATAAGTTATGTCAATATTTATTAAAAAAACGCATCTTATTATACTTTAAAAATAAGTAAATAAAAATATATATTTGTTTTATCAAATATATAATCATCAAGAACATTGTTTGTAGTTACAAATTAGGGTTATAACAGCTTGTTTTCTAACTTAATATTTTATATTATATTACTACCTTCGGTGCATTAGAAAATTAATATTATAATTGAATTTAGGTGTAATTATTTAATTTGTAGATTTTATTCTTGTAAAAATAATTGTAGATTTTATTCAATTAAGTTGATTAAAGACCTCTTCGGTATTTAGGGGAGAAGTTAGAATTGATGTAATTACACTATAATTATAATTATTTTAAAAATTAAACTTATGTAATTGTATAATTATAATTAGTATTATACATAATGTAGAGGATTATAAATAATTACAATGTGATAATTAAAATATGTATATAGATGTAGAATTTCTGTAATAATCAAAATATGTATAGAAATTTAATACTTTTTATAATTAAATGTGAGTGTAACATCTCCCTACAATTAGATTATGATATTGAAATACGCTCTAATAAGACTATTCCAAATACACATTAATACAGTAAAATAATTCAATCAAGTGCAACAAACTTGATTGTGTCTTCTAATTGCTCCTTTGTTTGGTTATAACCCCTAAGACTCGATTTAGAAATTATGATAGAATCGTAAATATCACATATGTCATCAAGGTAACCCAAAGAAAACATAATTGTCAAATCATTTTTAAACTCCTATAAAATAAATAGGTAAAATTAAACTCGTGCCATTACAAAAGAAATTTGAAAATTAATATTTTTCCACCGAATAATATAAAACTGAGACTAAACTTTTAATTATCAAATCGATCCTACATGTAAATAATCTGAGAGGAAACGAAAGAAAAAGAGTGAACTATAAAATTGTGTTCTTTAAGTACGAAAAAACATCAACATAAAAATATAAATATTTCAATCAAAATGATATATCAAACAACATAGTAATTAGGTAAATCAATGGGTCTAACTACCCATCATTCGAACATCATTATAGGAGGTTTCATAATTCTTATCTTCTTAAAACCATACAAGACGAGGGCTTTATCCTCCGAAAAGGAATTCGAGTTAACCTCAAAAAAAATTCAAAACATGAATTTTTTATCATATCATCTTAAACCCCAAGTCTATATAAGGCTTAAGTCGCACATAATCATATGTAATTCATAAATTAAATATACTTAGATAACGTAAATCGGAAAGGTGGAACATACTTGCAACTAAAAATCATACAATATCAACATTACATACATAGGTCATTACGCACTCAAGGTGGTCTATGAAAAGGAATTCAAGCACAATTTTGCGTCAAACATTGTGACAATTGTCGAAATTGTCAAATAAAATAATTTATATTTTTAAATAAATTTGATAAAATAGTATAGAGAAGTAGGGTCGATCCACAAGGATTAGGTAAATTAATAATGTCATTTCCTGGATTGAGTGATCTGTGAAAAATAATAAAAAGGGGTTTTAGTAATAATAAAAGTGATAAGGTAAAAGTAAATGATGAATAAAAAATTGCGAAAGGTAAATAAAAGTAAATAATAGTAAAGAATTAGATAGAGATGATATAGGCTTAGGCTTGCTTAGACCCGATTTCGATCGATCATCAAAAATATATTTTTCTCCTCTTGATGCATGCTGGTTATAGTCAACAAAGCCCAACCAACTCTTGCAACTAACTTTTCTCTCTGATTAACTGATATTTCTAAATCTATCTTCGTAATTCAGTCCTTGTTGGACTAATCACGCATTATCGCTGTTACCAGCAAGACAACTTTAAGTGCAAGAAAAATTCGACTTAGATTATAGCGCCTCACGGAGAATCGAACTCGATCTTGATTCTCCTTAGCGAATCTTCGTTAAGTTTGTTAACAAGAAGTCAAATTACGATCAACCGATCTGACTCCCAAACTGTAAATCGAAAAAATCTTCAAGTCAACGTGTACTTTTTGAAGTAAAGGTGTTGTTACTTTTAAAGAAATGGTCAATTGACACTCCTAGTCCCTAGAGAATCAAAGAATGTATATGAGGTTGTTAAGTAATACCCAATTCTCATTATTAGAATTGAGTCATCGCAACCCTTTAGCTAAGTGAAAGTTTAGCTAAGCACGAATTGGATCATGCTTAGCATTTTTAAGGAGGAAAAAGTAAAAAAAAAAAAAAAAAATAAAACTTCTATAAAATAACCAATGAAATCATAAATTCCAATGTGTCTCTCAATGTTGAACATAAGGAGATATTTATACTAAAAAATCCTAGAAGAATAAATAACTAAAAGGTAAATAAAAAGATAAAAATATTCAAAATAAAATCTTAAATTTAAATCAAAAGGTTTATTAGAAAGATAAAGATAGAACATTTTAAACGTGTGGTTGGATTGAACTCTACTTTATCTTCTTGATAACTTCTAATTATTTGTCAAAAAAATTGAATTTGTCTTTAAGATAATACAAGACCACCTTTTAGAAGATACTGATTGGACTACCTAGATCTGCCACGTTGAAAAATGTCATGCCTTAGGTCCAGTCCATGAATCCAACCACGATTCCAAAAAAAAATACATATTATGTATTTTCACTACTGATTTTGGCTGATTCATCCAAATGAAGCTCATGTACTAAAATAAGGCAAAACAAAGATAAATCAATAATATCCAATAAAAAAACAAATAGTAAACAATAAATGTATGTAATATTTAACACTCGTCACATTGAGTGTGACACAAGTCGAGAAACCCACCTCTAACAACTAATATTACCAGATAAGAGTACGTTTTTCGTAATTGACAATATTAAATCTTATGGTGTGGGAACCTACTATAACATAATTCTACAGAATCATTGAAACACGATACTTAAAGGACCATTAATTTAATTAACAATACTCATACATAACTTGGATCGAACGTGTGAAATCAAATTTACCTAAATGGAAGTGATCCTAATATGTAAGAAAGTAGAACAAAGATAACATAAAACCAATAAATAAGATTTTTAATTCCACAATATTCTTAACATAAATTTCAATTAAAGCAATGTAGGATGCAAAATTTGACGAAACAGATGATAAAATCAAAATTAAAATGTCAAAAATTTTAAGCTAAAGTTTGGATTAAAAGTTAAAGTCATAATCAACAGTTAATGATTAACGAGACAACATCTCTTTCCTAAGAGGAAAAGGGTTTGAACCTCACGAGAGACATTTCATATTTGTTGTTTTTATTATTTTAAGGCGATTGGTTAAAAACATCATAGAAAAATACTGATGATAAAAAGGAGGATGATGTAGGAATTTAAAAATATTTTAAAAATATTATGTTAATATTATCATTAATTTTTAATGACAGGTGATCAAAAAAAATTATGTTAGATGTGATTTTAAAAAAATAATAATTAAATGATTAAAATAAAAATAAAATAATACGTTGGTAACTAAATAAATAACTAATCCTAGAATTAAATTAACCATTTAAATATGATTCGATCCATATATATATAATCTAGTGCCCAATGCAAGCCCATTTTGATTTCTACAAAAACATACTCTGGCTCCTATTTCCACCGCTCTTTCCCTCCCTTTCTTCTTCTACGCGCGCAGAGCTAAAAATCTCATTTACCTGTCTCTCTCTCTCTCTGCATAATTCGCTTAACGCCGCGAGATTTTAGGTCAGATAATCTAACACCTTTTCTTCCTTTACGATGCATTTGCTTCTTGTTTGGATGCCGAGAAAACAGAAGCTAAGAAAAAGAAAAAAATGAAAAAAGGAGTGTGGAACGGCAGAAATGTTTCTTCTTTCTTTGGTTTTTCCTTAAGGAACTGATAATGGTAGCTTAGGTCACAATTTATGTTCTTTGTTTGGGTTTCTTCTTCTTCTTCTTCTATATATGCATACGTTTCATATTTGGTGTAAGCTTCTTACTTAACCTGAAGTTGAGCCTTTGTGTTTGATTGAAACCGAATGAGTTCACCTCTCGGGTTTTGATTTAGAATATGTTGTCTGAATGTTGACATTGTTTTCAAGGAGTTGGGTGTTTGTTTAAGATAGCTCTCTTTGAGGTTTCTCCTACAAATTTTGTTCTTAGTTTATAGTTTTCACATCAGGCATTTCCGTGTAATGTTGATATCATAGAGTAGGTTTTTGTATATACTGCATATTTTGGGTTTATTGTTGCACTTAGATTGTTGTCATGTTTCAATGCCATTTTTTGAAATGACTTGTATATTCAAGCTAATAAAATTATGCTTCACTAGCACTAGCATCGGTGGAAGAAATCAGACTATTAGCTAGTCGAACCTTTAAATGGATTTTCCTCGATTTTGAGTGAGTTTCGTAGAAAATCAATCTTAAGAACAGAAAGAGGCATGTAATATGAACATTTTGATACCAATCTTGTAGTGAAAGACGATCGAAGACAGGCGGTGATTGATTGTCGACGATGGTCGAAATAGTGCAGTGCGAAAAGTAAAATATTTAAAAGTTTACTGAAAAAATTGATACACCTAAAGTATAGTGCCTAAAACGATTTTTTTAGCCTTCAATAGCCTCCTCAAAATAACGCCTTTTTAGCCATACATAGTCACACCAAAAAAATGTTGATTTAGCCATCAATAGCCGCACCAAAACGATATCATTTTGTTCATATGATCTCATAGGGTGAATTGTAACAGTCCAGTGGCAAAATTGAAGTTAAGCAATGTTTAGTGCTATAATTGAAGAAATTGAATGTTCAGTGGTGTAAATGGTTTACTGCCTAAAGTTTAGTAGTATTTGGTGTAGTGTACCCTTTAGTTATTGTAGACTCTGTTGCTTGAGCGAAAGCAACATAAAACATTCTTACCAATTATGATTGGTAAGACTTGTTGTTATTGTTGCTGTCAATTTTTTATTCTGGAAACATAAGGAATATAATGAACCACTAGAGCAGCAACAACATCTTGATTCTCAGTTTACCAAATGGTATAGGAAAAAGTTAATCTTTTAATGTTTTCATTCAAGCAATGTAATTGAATCCTGAAGATATAAACAAGTGTAATTGTGGAAAACATTTGCAATCACCTTCTGAAGGTTCCAATGATGCTATTCAGACAAGTAATACTTCTCTTGTTGACCCTTTAGGATTGCCTCAAGAAATCCTAGCTTTCAACAACCAAAGCTCCATTGTGAAGACATGTCCAAAAATTCTGGTGTGGAACAGTATGAAACACCACTGAAGAATCTGCCAACGCATGGGTAGAAAAACTTCTAAAAATGTAAAGAAAATGAGCCGCTGAGATCTTTGCGAAGCAGTGGCAGGGTTTCGCATTCAAATCGCAAGAGAAATCTAAAGCTACTGAGCCAACCAATAATTTGGCTGATGTTGGTTCTAACAAGAAGCAAAAAAGGAGGAAGAGGAAGAGGGAGGGAAACAAAGAAGTTTCTGATGAATATTCAAGAATCAGGAGGCACCTTAGATATTTATTGAATCGAATAAACTATGAACGAAATCTGATTGATGCATATTCTACAGAAGGTTGGAAAGGGCTGAGGTGTGTTTATTATACGGTTTTATCTTGAACTCATTTGCTGCGATGTTTGTTTATGAGCTAAATTTCGTGACAATCTCACAATGTTTTCATCTCGGTCTCAGATTCAGTATTGTTATAGGTTACTTATAATTGATAAGGGAGGACAAAGCAAAAAACAAAAAAGTTCGAGCATATAAGAAACCTTGTAATTTTCATTTGTTGCTTTCGAATGTTTGTGTAACCTGCAGCATAGAAAAGTTAAAGCCACAGAAGGAGCTTCAACGCGCTGCATCTGAAATTCTTCGACGCAAATTGAAAATTAGAGATTTATTTCAACATGTTGATTCATTATGCGCTGAAGGAAGGCTTCCAGAATCTTTATTTGATTCTGAAGGAGAAATTGACAGTGAGGATGTAGGAAAACCATAGTTAAAAATAAGCATTGTCTATATATACCTAGTTGCTATTTTATCATTGATGATAATAATTTGAGTCTTGGAACTAGAAATGCTTAGACATGAAATCCTATAATTGCAGATATTTTGCGCAAAATGCGGGTCGAAGGACCTCCCTGCCAACAATGATATCATACTATGTGATGGTGCTTGTGACCGAGGATTCCATCAATATTGCTTGCAGCCGCCTTTGCTAAAGGAAGACAGTAATGCTCTTCATTGCCTAGTTTATATTACTAATTTGGCATATTGGGTTTTGAATTGTTTTAATGTTGATAATACGTTACCTTTGCTCCTCTTTCTGTGTTACAGTTCCTCCAGATGATGAGGGTTGGCTATGCCCCGGATGTGATTTCAAAGATGATTGTATTGAATTGGTTAATAAATCTCAGGGAACAAAATTTTCACTCACTGACAGTTGGGAGGTCAATAACAGATTTTTTCTTTCTTTAGTTAGTACTTTTATTTCTTTTATTCCTCACCATGCTCCTTTCTATCAACAGAAAGTCTTTCCAGAGGCAGCACTAGCTGCTGCAGGTGGAGAAAATCAGGATCCTAACTTTGGACTACCTTCAGATGATTCTGATGATAATGATTATAATCCTGATATTTCAGTAAATGACGAGAATGATCAGGGAGATGCGTCAAGTTCTGATGAATCTGATTTCACTTCTGCATCAGAGGAACCGGAAGTACCAGCTAATGCTAATCCTTATTTGGGGCTTCAATCTGAAGATTCGGATGATGATGATTATAATCCCAATGGCTTGAACCATGATAATGTGGCTAAGGCGGAATGTTCGAGTTCTGATTTTACCTCTGATTCTGAGGATCTTGGCACTGTCATAGTAGAAGATGATATTTCTTCTCAGAAAGATGGTGGCCCCATGTCTAATGGTGCTTCTAGAAACTCCAAGGGTCAAAAGAGTAAACTTAGTGGCAAGAAGTCTATGAATAATGAGCTGTTATCAGTAATAGAATCAGCTTCCGGACAAGATGGTGCAACCATATCTGATAAACGAAACATTCAGAGGTTGGACTACAAAAGGCTATATGATGTGAGTATCATTTCTTGGACATGATTCTCTCCCGTCATAAATCAGTTCGGTTTTCTATTTGCATTTAGAGAACTATTCACATAGTTCATCGACTTTTTGCTTGATGGAGTTGTTTCTATTTGGTTTATTTTCTTCTTTTCGTTTACTGTTTCGGTTCTTTCCTTAGTGATTTGCTCATTTTTTTTTTTTTGGCTACATACAGGAGACATATGGCAATGTTCCTTCTAGTTCCAGCGACGATGAGGATTGGAATAATGCCTCGGCACCTAGAAAAAGGAAGAAACATAATGCAGAAGTGGCACAACCGAATGGAAATGCTTCTCTAACTAGTGGTGTCTCGGTTTCCAATGGTTTAAAGCAGAAGCCGGAAGAGACGGAGCATACACCTAGGAGAAACACTCGGAAGAGATCAAATCATAAGGCTACTGATAAAAAGGCTGTCATGCCTGTTTCAAGCGGTAAAAAGGCTGGTTCATCAACCCCTTCAAATGGTAAGGGTACTGCGAAATCACCCAGATGTGCTTGCAGACCTGGTTCAAGGGGTAAACAGGCTGATTTCTCAACACCTTCAAATGGTAAGGGTACAGCGAAATCACCTGCCAAATCACCCGTAGGTGTTTGCAGATCTAGTTCGAGTGGTAAACAGGCTGATTCATCAACATCTAAAAGACTTGGAGAAGCTGTAACTCAGGTAAAAGTGCCTTGGCTTCGATTAATCGGGAACAAGAACAAAAACTTCTGTACGATCGAGCTTTTGTTTGTCAAAAACGTTAGAGATTAATTTGATTATTATTAATTTTGTTGATATCTTGTTTTGCAGGGACTTTATAAATCTTTCAAGCAAAATCAGTACCCAGACCGATCTGTGAAAGAGAGTTTGGCTAAAGAGCTCGGAATTACTGTCCGACAGGTCTTCGCTTTTCTCCACTTGCAGTCCACTAAATGTCATCTTTCTTCAATTATCTCATGCATAAAAGTATCCATCATCGTTTCATTTCGTTCCTGGTTTTTCCGGTTTCTTATATCGGTAGTTCTGTTGTGCAGGTTAGCAAATGGTTCCTAAATGCTCGCTGGTGCTTCAACAATTCAAAAACTGTTCCAGGAAGTTCACTCAAAAAAGTTTCAGGTAATGGTATTACCCCATCGACTCGTCGAAAGAAGAATTGAAATGGGAATGGAGATGGCTAACCATATTGATTTAAGATCCGAAATATTGATTTGAGGTTCAAAAGCACTAAGGGCTATGCTTTATATGAATGCACATCGGAGGCAATGGATTTTGTAATTTACTGACATTCTTCCTGATTTGAAAGAGAACCTTTAAAGAAGAAACTAGTTTCATGTTTCCTCCAAAGTAGGTTGTAGTCAACACTTGAACTTAATTCGAAATTTGAGGTTTAAAGCTCCAATCGAGTTGATTTTAAACTTATTCTCTAGTTTGAGTTGATCATTATTGAGCTCTGAGTAATTTGAGTATATTAATACTTGATTCTAGTAGCTCGTGTCTCATATTTGATATGATATTTATTGTCTAAACTAATGGTTAGTCTAATGATTATTTAATTGATATTCAATTAAAAGTATTTAGAAGTTTAAGACCAATTTAAAATCTCGGTCATAATTGGAGGACTTCAGTTGCAATTAATCCCGCCACTAGTTTCAAACCTTCTCGCCATCCAAATTCAATCTTAAGGTGGAGTTTGGTTCGCTGGAATGTTTATGAGGGAATTAGAATCTGTGAAGGAATTGGAATCTGTCAGGAATTGGAATTTAATTTCATATTTTGTTTGGTTTACAGACATGTCAAATGAATTTGATTTCAGTAATGTAAAATGACAGAATTGCTCTTCTTGTTTTTTTACTTTATTTAAGTTTGTTTTACAACTTACATGTTGTCAAATGAATTTGATTTCAGTAATGTAAAATGACAGAATTGCTCTTCTTGTTTTTTTACTTTATTTAAGTTTGTTTTACAACTTACATGTAGTAATATATTATAAAAAAATTTAAAAAATATTAAATTTTCATTTTATTGATTGATTATTCATTTTAATAAATTATAAAAATCATACTAATAAATATCATAAGTTAAAATTATCGCAACCAAAATATGTTAATAAGTTATCAAAAGATAGAGCAATATTTCGATACATTTTAATCGGAGTATGTTAATTAGTTATCAAAAAATATTTTTATTCAATATATTAATTAGAAACCCGACATCGACACGAAATAATAAAAAATTATTTTTATTCAATAAAAACATTGATTTAATTGAAAAAAATTATATATAGAGGGGTATTATTGTAATTATTCCTAAATATATAAGGTAAAATTATATATTTTTTCGGGTCGTGTCCGTTTTTTCACCCTAAACCCGAACCTGACCCGACCTGAATATCACACTTAAAAAAACCCGACCCGAAATAATAAAAAAAATATTTTTATTCAATAAAAACAATGACTTAATTGAAAAAAATTATATATAGATGGGTATTATTGTAATTATTTCTAAATATATAAGGTAAAATTATATATATTTTCGGGTCGGGTATTTTTCACCCTAAATCCGAACTCGACCAGACCCAAATATCACACTTAAAAAAACCGACCCGCCCGACCAAAATAAAGTTTCACCCGACCCGATCCGAATATATGAATTAGAAACCCGACCCGAAATAATAAAAAAATATTTTTATTCAATATATAAATAAATTACCAAAAGATTGATGAGGATGGTATGGTCAAATTTCAATTCTCTCTTGAATTTCATCCATTCTTGGATAAAATTTACTTTCCCTCATTTGATGGAAGTTGAAGCAATGAGAGATTTTAATTCCCTTATAAAATTTGAACTAAACATGGGAAAGTGATGGAATTGGATTTCAATTCCCACCAATTCCAAGGAATTAATATGTACCAAACGCCACCTGATAGTATTAACCCCAGGAATTCCTCACGTTTTGGCTCTTAACAGAAAACTCAGCCATGTAATCCCTCACTTCTTTTCTGATCATCTCTTGAATTGCCATCTCCACTGTCAGTGCAAGTGTCGTCTCCGTCATCTTCATCCCACCAACTTGATTTTCCGCTAATGGTTGTTCATGTTCATTCTTCTTCCCTGATGAGTTAATGATATTAACATCGAACGATTTGTTCCAGGACCGTCCGAGAGTAAGCTCTGTTGAAACATCAGTGACAACAAAATGTCGATTCGACTTGACAACGTTTGATCCCAAATCGCTCTCTTCAGAACCCGAAGGACTCTCCATTCTCGGAGATTTCGTTGATCGTTTCTTCAGTTCTTGAATTGAATCTCCATCTTCCGCCACCGATAGCTTCCGCTTCAACGTCGAATTCCAATGATTCCTAACTGCATGGGCATGGCCCCCCATGATGATACTGTCTTCCTCCGGTGTGAAAGCGCGATGCTCGACTTTCGATGATAGTTGGTTGCACAATTGTGACCGACGGCAGGAGATCGACCTCGATATCAAAGAACAGTTTCGAGCACTATGTCGTTTCACCAACTTGCGCAATGCTTCATCCTCCTTGGGACTCCATGGTCTTTTGACTCCTTCAAATTCTTGATCCATTGGAGCTTAATAGCAACTGGCTTGAATTCCTATCGGAGATTTCAACGGCCGGTGGCAGGATGGGCGAAGATAAATGAAGAACGAGGCTGGTCCGGTGGTTGAGCTGTTGAAGGCTCGGGTCTTTTAGAGGTAAATAAGTGGATGAGCCGTCGAGGGTTTATAAAGGGAAGAAGTTACGCCGTTACGATAACTAATACAAGTAATAACTAATAAGTACTATAACGTTAACGGTGTAACAATTGGACAACGTTTTACAAGAAACTGCCAGTACGTTGAATTAGTTAGGAGATTTTAAATTTCTAGATTTAGCTTAATTATTAAAATTAAAAAATTAATTTTATCAAGATATTATTTAATTTAATTAAAACATTTAATCTCACCTCCATTAACTGGGTCAACATAACAATAATAGTGAATAATTAAAGAAGGTTTTACTTGTTAGTCAAACAACCTTAAATTAGATCAAATAAATCAGTTTTTGACATCATAAAAGAGGTGTAAATAAATAAATTTCGTATTTCATAAAATTAAATTTATCTATTTTATGAAAGAAAAGAAGGTTCATTATAAAAAGTTATAAATATTAATATAAAATTATTTTTTAAATATTTTTTTAAATAATAGTACAATAAATCATAAGAATTTAAATAATTAATAACCGTATGATTCTCTGTTCTCTCATTTCCTCTTCACTGTCTGCCTGCTTCTTCTTCTTCATCACTGTCCAATAAAATTTCTTCGAATTTCACCTCGCCGTACAACAATGGCGTCTTTGAAAACCCCAACGCTTTCTCTTTCCTCTAAATCACACCTCCGATCTTCTCTTCCCGCCACCTTCCCTAACAACCTCCGTTTTTCCAGCTCCCAACCGCAAAGCCACCGCTTTTTTATTGTCGCCGCCGCCCCCGCTTCGTCATCACCCGGTTCGTCCTCCAAGAAGCCAAACGTACGCAGCCCTGCTCCCGCTTCATCATCATCCGGTTCGACCTCCAAGAAGCCAACCGTACTCGTCGCCGAGAAGCTCGGCGAGGCTGGTTTAGCGTTGCTTAGACATCACACTAACGTCGACTGCTCTTATAAACTCTCTCCTGAGGAACTCAGAGCCAAGATCGCACATTGCGACGCCTTGATCGTCCGCAGTGCCACCAAAGTCAACCGCGCGATTTTCGAATCTTCTGGCGGGAAATTGAAGGTCGTTGGGAGAGCTGGCGTTGGGATTGATAATGTCGATCTGGCTGCCGCCACCGAGCACGGTTGTTTGGTCGTCAATGCTCCCACGGCTAAAACGGTCGCGGCGGCGGAGCACGGAATCGCAGTTTTGGTTGCCATAGCTCGTAATGTGGTTCAGGCTGATGCTTCCGTCAAATCCGATGAATAACTATCATCTGCAATAAAATACGATTTATTAGAACATAAAGTGTGATCGCAATCTATCTGTAATTTAAAAATATAATTATTTATATAAAAATATTACATCGTAATATTTACAATATTTGCAACCGCGATATAATATTTGTAATAATTAAATCGAATTCTCATACGTTATACTTCGTTATGATATAGGAAAGCGGCAAAGGAGCAAGTACGTTGGTGTATCCCTTGTTGGAAAAACACTTGCCATATTAGGTTTCGGAAAGGTTGGATCAGAAGTAGCTCGGCGAGCCAAGGGACTCGGGATGCATGTTATTGCACATGATCCTTATGCCCCGGCAGATCGTGCTCGTGTTATCGGTGTTGAGCTAGTCGGCTTGAAGGAAGCCATAACGACGGCAAATTTCATCTCTTTGCACGTGCCACTTACTCCCGCTACTTCTAAGATGCTCAATGCCGAGGCATTTTCTAAGATGAAGAAAGGTGTTCGTATTGTCAACGTTGCTCGTGGGGGAGTGATCGACGAAGACGCTCTTTGGAGGGCATTGAACGGCGGGATCGTAGCTCAGGCTGCTCAGGACGTTTTCAGTGAGGAGCCACCCAGTAAGGACAACAAGTTGGTGCAACATGAGAAGGTTACCGTCACACCACATCTAGGTGCTAGCACGATGGAGGCTCAGGTAGGGTGATTGTTCGGTCGGTGTATCCGAATTTTGTTTGTTTCCAAATGCTGAATGAAGCATCGGTATGTCTTTGTAGGAAGGAGTGGCTATCGAAATCGCGGAAGCTGTTGTTGGTGCCTTGAAAGGGGAACTTGCTGCAACTGCTGTCAATGCACCAATGGTTCCTGCCAAGATACAACGACTTTTGTCACATTCCATTCGATATAAACTTCTGATTCCCATCTTTATGTTCGATTCATTCACGATTTCCGCTTCAGGTTAGCTATTCTTCCCTCGCAGGTTCTAAACGAGTTGAAACCGTACATCGAACTTGCCGAGAAACTTGGGAGGCTGGCTGTCCAATTGGTTGCAGGTGGTCGTGGTGTTAAAACTGTGAAAGTGTCATATGCTTCCTCCAGAGCTGAACTCGATACGAGGTTGCTTCGTGCGATGATCACCAAGGGTATACTTGAGCCTATTTGCAATATTTTCGTGAACTTGGTCAATGCCGATTACACAGCAAAACAGAGAGGCCTAAAGATCACTGAGGAATGCATCTATTTAGATGGTTCACCTGAGTGTCCACTTGAGTCCATTAAAGTTCAGATCACCAACGTGGAATCGAAATTCGCCAGCTCCAACTCATTGACTGGCGAGATCAGAGTTGAAGGAAGGGTGAAGGACGGAATTCCGTGTTTGACAAAGGTAGGGTCATTCGGAGTTGATGTGAGCTTGGAAGGTAGTGTCATACTTTGCTAGCAGGTTGATCAACCGGGTATGATTGGTAAGGTATTTTGGGCGAGGAGAACGTAAATGTGAGCTTCATGATAGTTGGGAGGATTGCTCTGAGGACGCAAGCCGTGATGGCCATCGGAGTCGACGAGCAACTGAGGAAAGAATCGTTGAAGAGGATTGGTGAAGTCTGCCATTGAAGAGATTGTTTTCCCTAAGTTGTAGCATTGCTGCATTAGTATCACCGTCTCCTTTGTCAAAATTGTTGACTTCCGCCGCCATGGTGTGACGGTAACCTGAGATGTGATGTGACAACAAGTTGGTGCAACATGAGAAGTAACGCCTTCATGGCCAACGCCCTCCGCCGCGTGACGATCGCTGAGGTCCCAACCATCGTAATCGACCATGTAGAAATCAAAGTCAACTCGTCCGTCCTCAACGACGAGTTCATCGCGCATCAACTCGGCCTCATTCCTCTCACCAGTGAGCGCGCCGCACCATGTCCATGTGATTCTCCCATGACTGTGACGCCTGCGACGGTGACGGCCAGTGTGAGTTCTGCTCCGTCGAGTTCCATCTTCGTGCGAAATGCATGAGCGATCAAACACTCGATGTCACTAGCAACGATCTCTACAGCTCTGATCATACGGTTGTTCCCGTCAATTTCATCGATTCTGGTGGCTACGATTCTTCTGAGCAAAGGTATTTGGGGTTAAAATTTGCAAAGTGTAACTAATTTAGGGGGATGACCGCTGGTTGAATGTATGCATTATGATTTTTTTTTTTTTAATTCGAATTGCATTCCGCGTTAATATCTGAATATGAATTGATTAGATTATCCACTGGATATTTAAATCTGCTAAAAATTGGCATTTAGTACGCTAGTAAACTTCTTTAAAAAGTGGTGAGAATGTATAGTGCGGATTCGGATATTTGCAATATTCTGACTTTGTTCTTTGCATATTTGGATATCGTGGATTCAAATAATATTTGTATTTGAATATTATAATTACTATCTACTGTAAATTTAGGACAAATGCATATATTATTCTCGGAAATTCATTATCAAAATCCATTTTATTTTGTTGAATGGTGATTCAAATTCGGCTATCATTATCCAAATCTACTTTAAGTAATTTAAATTGCATAGCCTTTCTAGCGTTACTTGATTATAAAAGTAATTGTTACTTTCAGGGGGATTATCATTGTGAAACTGCGGCGAGGGCAAGAGTTGAGGGTGAGGGCAATTGCAAGGAAAGGGATAGGAAAAGATCATGCAAAAATGGTCACCGGCTGCAACTATGACTTTCATGTATGAACCTGAGATCCATTTCAATGAGGATATGATGGATACCTTGACACTTGGGGAGAAGCAAAACTTTGTCGAGAGTAGTCCTACTAGAGTATTTGACATTGATCCTAATACCCAACAGGTTCTCCTTCTCTTGCTACGTCATTATATTATCAAACTAGGTTATAGATTGTTAAAGAAATAGTTCGGGTAGTAGAATTACTGTCTACATCATTGAGGTCCTTGCCAAGTTCCTAATGTGCATGAGTTGACACATTTATCTAAATATGTTTCTTATAGAACCTCTGTTGAAAATTCAATATTAGCCTAAATAAGTTCACACCTAAATTAATTTGATGTCATTGCTTACATCAATTTAGTTTTGATGTCATTGCTTACATCAATTTAGTTAGGTGAAAATTAAGTATTTTTCTCATGTTTTAATTTCAATGGTTTAGATTATTTAGTGCTTATTTTAATGAGTGGTTTAGATTATTTCTTGTAACCTATAAATACCCTACTTGTATTTGAGTTTTATCATCCAACAATCAAAGCTTAATTATAAGCATTTGAAAGCTTTCTTAAGAGTTCTTCCTTTTTGCAATTTTGTGAGATTATTCTAAAGAGTTTTTTTTTCTTCTCGATCAATTAGAGTTTTTACTCTATTTTGATTCAACAATTGGTATCCGAGCCACGTTTTTAAGGTCTCTTGAAATTCTGAGTATGCTCTGTGGCTGCAGTTTTTAACTGATCTTCCACATCAGAAAATATTTCTTGAGTTATTGTCGGGGTTATTACAAACCTTGTAGAGCTTCTTTGTGTTTAGAGTAATTTAGTACTCTGCACGTTTGTTACTCAAGCTTGTTCGGTGTAGTCAAAAGCCTTGCCGGTAAGATAGGTGATCTTCAAGTAGTTGGAGGGATCAAGAAGCTCAACAACAAAAA